AGATTCCAAAGCATCTTCTTCTGTCGCAATTCTGAGTTTTCTAATGACCAAGATAACTATAACCGCACAATATAAGATGGCCGCATCTACCCAACCGAAAAAAGTAATCCATTGCCATATTATACAATGTTCTTCACCAGTATCTCGATACCAACAAGATCTGTAATGGAAATAAATGTGAAATAAATATAAAATAAATATAAAATAAGTATAAAATAAATATGAAATAAATATGAAATAAACATATATACATACAGTTCGACATGATCATAACCATACATATTAACAGAAACAGGAAGAAGAGAAAGAATAAGGGCCAAAAATAATGATATTATAAAATAAAATTTTTCAAAATTAAAACGAATTCTATATTCGTTTACGAATATTATATGAAGGTTCTAAAATAAATTAAAAAAAGAGAAATGAAATATATATACACATATATAGTATAAAGATCACAATGAAATACAATTATACATAATACATACCAAAACTATGCATACGATAAAGAATATAGAAGTAAGGGCAAAAAATACGGTTCCCCAAGTCTTATATAAAAAGAACGTCAAGAATTTTTTTTTTTTAAAAAAAAACAATCAAAATGAAAAAGAAAACTAATAGATATCTTACCGCATATGCACACAAAAAATCGGAAGGATGTTCCCAAACAAACCACATCAAAAGATGACAAGTATAACATAAATCAACGAATAAAGCCGCAAAAGCTAAACGAAACGAAACCCGGTCAGCAAGATTTGAATAATATATTCGTATAAATACAAATATTATGAGTAAGATAGCGCTAGAAACGATAGAAATGATATTCAAAGGAATACATATTTTAGCTATGAAGATGAATTGTTCTCTTTCTATTGGAATGATAAAAGACATTATCGATTATTCTTGTAGTATGTTAGAAGAGATTCGATACGAATTGATTTAAAAAATGTATATATCAATATACAGATATATACATCATTAAAAAAGTAAAAAAGAAGGTGTTATATAAAATGCGAACAATTGATAGTATCAAATTCAATTAACGGATAATCTGCTCATTAAGTTATATATATGTATGTTGAGAGTCTGTTTGCTCAGATTTAAACCAATAATCATGATAGATATGTCAATCAACAAATAATCCCTTGATCAAATTCATTAATTAATCTATACAACTATTTTGTCGAATCAAATAATTGTCCAT